AGTCCCAGCTACTTGGGAGGCTGAGGCAGGAGAATCGCTTGAACCTGGGAGGTGGAGGTTGCAGTGAACTGAGATTGTGCCACTGCACTCCAGCGTGGGAGACAGAGTGAGACTCTCTCTCCCTCTCTCTCTCTCTCACACACACACACACACACACACAAGTTTGGGATTGTGCGTTCATGCTGGGAAATCTTCAGATGTCCCAGACGTATCACATTCACCCTCCTTAATTGCTGTCGGAAGGTGATGGCTTCCTCATGCAGAAGAAGGATTTAGCAGTGGGGTTGGTGGAGGAGTAGGCAGGGTGAGGGGCAGCAACGCCGGATGACACAGCCCCTGGGGTTGGCAACAGTCGGGGCCCAGCAGCAGGGGTAGGGGCTGCAGAGAGGGACCCCCATGGACAGGCTGTCCTCTGGAGGGAGGTGGCCAGGGACTGACAATCGGCCTCACTCCCCCTCCCCCACTCTTCCTCCCTCACTCTCCCAGCCCCCTGCCTCCTGGTGCAAGCCCCCGGCCGGACCCCGCTGGGATGAAAGCTGAAGCCAGAGGGCTGAGGATCTGTCCCTGCAGCTCCCCCAGTCCTGGGTCCCGGCGTGGAGCTCAGTGGCAGGGTTGGAGAGGGAGCCTGGAGGGCCCAGCCCAGTGAAGCCATCGCAGTCACTCTTGTGAGTGGCGCCCACCCCGGGGACTCCCCACCAGGGGCAGCAGCCATGTGGGGGGCACACGATGGAGGGGCACACGATGGGGGTGGCACATGGTGAGGGGGCACACGGTGAGGGGGCACACGGTGGGGGGGCACACGATGGGGGTACACGATTCTCCCAGCTGCCTGCCAGGTCCCCCGCCATGCCTGCAGTTCCGTCTTCCTTTCCTCATTCCCTGAATCGCGCCTGTGACCCTGAAGGGGACGTGGCCACTCAGAGAGGAGCCACATCATGCCGGCTGCACCTCGTCCACAGGCGGACACTCCCCGTGTCTTTTTTTTTTTTTGAAAAGGAGTTTCACTCTTGTCGCGCAGGCTGGAGTGCAATGGTGTGCTCTCAGCTCACTGCAACCTCTGCCTCCTGGGTTCAAGCGATTCTCCTGCCTCAGCCTCCCACGGTGCTGGAGAGTTTCTATGAGAACCCGAAGCCCGGGAGCCCGGGCGGGGCCCGTCCGACCGGGGCCCGTCCGACCGGGGCCCGAGGGCGCCCTCTGGCGGCCGAGCGGAGGGCGGCAAGGTCGACCACCGAAGGGAAGACAAGGCGATGACTGGGGCGACAGCAGAGGGGCGTGATATTTAGGACACGCAGCAGAGGCTGGGGTCCCCGTCTGTACCCTGCAGCATCTGTCACTCCTGAACATGTAAACACACACAGGCACACACACATGCAAACACGCATCGGTTTGCTAGGGTTGCCTTGCCAGGTACTGCAGACCCGGCGGTGCAAACACCTGTTCATTCCAGTCACAAGTCCCAGAGGAAGGTGTTGGCGACGCTGGGTCCTTCTGAGCCCGAGGGGACTCTGTCCCAGGCCTCTCCTGGTTCCTGGTGGTGACCGGCGTTCCTGGCTTGCTAAAGCTTCACCACAGTGTTCTTCTGTGTGTGTCTGTGTCTGTGTCCAAATTTCCCTTTTTTTTGAGACAGAGCTTTGCTCTGTCACCCAGGCTGAAGTGCAGTGGTGCGATCTCGGCTCACTGCAACCTGCACCTCCCGCTTCAAGCGATTCTCCCGCCTCAGCTTCCCAAGTAGCTGCGATTACAGATGCGCGCCACCACGCCCGGCTAATTTTTTGCATTTTTAATAGAGACGGGGTTTCACCACATTGGCCAGGCTGGTCCTGAACTCCTGACCTCAGATGATCCACCCGCCTTGGTGTGCCAAAGTGCAGGGATTACAAACGTGAGCCACTGCACCTGGCTCTTTTTTTTGTTTGTTTTTTGTTTTTGAGATAGGGTTTCTCTCTGGCACCCAGGCTGGAGTGCAGTGGTGCCATAACAGCTCACTGCAGCCCTAACCTCCAGGGCTCAAGTGATCCTCCCACCTCAGCCTCCTGAGTAGCCGGGACTACAGGCATGCACCATCATGCCCAGATAATTTTTGTATTTTTTTGTAGAAATGGGATCTTGCTGTGTTGCCCAGACTGGTTTCAAACTCTTGGTCTCAAGCAATCCTCCCACCTCAGCCTCCCGAGTAGCTGGATTACAGGTGTGTGCCACCATGCCTGGCTAATTTTAAAATTTTTTGTAGAGTCAGGGTCTCACTATGTTGCCAAGGCTGGTCTTGAACTCCTGGCCTCGGCCTCTCAAATTGCTGGGATTACAGGCGAGAGCCACTAGGCCCAGCTCAAATTTCCTGTTGTATATAAAGGACACCAGTCACATTGGATCAGTGCCCACACTACTCCAGAATGAAGTCATCTTAACTGTATAGTTCCATCCTCAATGACCTTATTTCCAAGCAAAGTCACATTCTGAGGTCCCAGGGCTTAAGGTGTGAACATATGGATATTGGGGAGGACCTAATTCAATCTGTAGTAAAGCACAAACACACACTCATAGACACACAGATGCACGTACACACACACATAAAATACACACGCAACACAAGCACCACACACACAGACTGGCATCCACGACTCTCCACCTGAGGGCGGAGCTACGCCTCCCCAGCCCCCATCCCATTTGCAGGGGAGTTGGAGGATAAATACCCCAGCTCCCTCACCTCAGGACAACCTGAACCAGATCCTCAGAGGGACTGAGCTCCAGCTGCCTGGAGCTATAACCTCCCTGTTCACGCCTCCCTGCAAACTACAAGCCGTTCTCCATCCCCATGCCCCTTCAGTACTTCCTGGGTTCACATCCTAGATAGACCATTTGACCTCAATCTTTGTTGTGGCTAAAACACCCTTTTGTGACAGAGCTGATGAGCCATCCCTCGTCCTCTATGAAACCAGACGTTCAAGAAATTTGCAAAAATTTAAAAATGTATGCCACCAATCCTCCTGTTTTAAAAATGTATTAAAAAAAAATTAACATGTAATGTTTATTCTTTTGTTTTTTGGGTTTTTTGAAACACAATCTTGCTCTGTCACCCAGGTGGCAATGCAGTGGTGTGATCTTGGCTCACTGCAACCTCTGCCTCCCAGGTTCAATTGATTCTTCTGCCTCAGCCTCCCAAGTAGCAGGGATTACAGGTGCCCACCCCCACACCTGCCTAATTTTTGTATTTCTAGTAGAGGCGGGGTTTCACCATGTGGGCCAGGCTGGTCTTGAACTCCTGACGTCAGGTGATCTGCCTGCCTCAGCCTCCCAAAGTGCTGGTATTACAGGTGTGAGCCACCACACTCCACAAACCCCTATTTCCTTTTTTTTTTTTTTTTTTGAGACGGAGTCTCGCTCTGTCACCCAGGCTGGCCAGATCTCAGCTCACTGCAAGCTCCGCCTCCCAGGTTCACGCCATTCTCCGGCCTCAGCCTCCCGAGTAGCTGGGACTACAGGCGCCCGCCACCTCGCCCGGCTAGTTTTTTGTATAATAGAGACGGGGTTTCACCGTGTTTGCCAGGATGGTCTCGATCTCCTGACCTCGTGATCCGCCCGTCTCGGCCTCCCAAAGTGCTGGGATTACAGGCTTGAGCCACCGCGCCCGGCCCCCTATTTCTTTTTATCTCCAGATGGAGACTTGCTCAGTCACCCAGGCTGGAGTGCAGTGGTGCAGTCTCAGCTCACTGCAACTCAGCCTCCCAGGTTCAAGCAATACTCCTGCCCCAGCCTCCCGAGTAGCTGCAATTACAGGCGTGGGCCACCATGCCTGGCTAGTTTTTTGTGTTTTTAGTAGAGACAGAGTTTCACTATGTTGGCCAGGCTGGTCTTGAACTCTGGACCTCAGATGATTTGCCCACCTTGGCCTCCCAACATGCTGGGATTACAGGCGTGACACGCACTCTCGGCCACCCAGGTTCGCCTCCTCCTTCCACCTTAGCCGGCCAGTGACACTGCGCTTCTCCACCTTCTGTTCACAGCCTCTTTTTCTTTCCTCTCTTCTTCCTCTTCTTTTCTTCTGCGCCAGCGCCAGCACGCTTTCGCTCTGTTGCCAGTGGTGAGTGCAGTGGCATATCTTGGCTCACTGCCAACCTCCACGCTCTCGGCTTCAAGTGCTTCTCTGTCACTCCACTGAGTATAGATACAGCGCACCACCACGCCTGGCTAAATTTTGTATTTTTAGTCGAGGTGGGGTTTTACCAGGTTCGCCAGGATGGCAGGGTCCTGGGCACACTTGGCTCAGAGCACCCGGGGGCCTGGGTGGAGGAGGCGCTGCAGCGCTTCATCCTGCCAGAGGCCACGCGCTCAGGAGTCCTTCAAGGAAGGAGATAGCCTGGGGGAACCACACGTGCTCACGCCACAAATGCAGCAGGTCCCTGGGTCTAAGCGCAGAAACATGTATTTATTTCCAGGATATTTTCACATAACAAAACCCCAGCAATGCTGCAAGGGGGCCACAGACGGTGGGGGAGGGGTGGGGTGGGCCTGCCAGGGGAGACTGTCTGCATCAGTGCAGCTGAGAGGCCGAGGAACGGGGTGCCTCTTGGCAGGTCGGCCGGCGGGCAGGACCTGAAGACCCCAAAGCATGGGCGCGGGACCCATGGGTGCTCCATCCTGGCTGCCGTCCACTGAGACACCACGGCCGCCTCCGGGCACCCAGCGGCATTCCGCACCAGCGAGGGGACTGGCCCACATCCCGGGGAGAGCTCCAGGCAGCAGGCGTCCCATGGCAACAGCACTCTGGGGGTGAACGGGTGGTGAGGGGCGGCAGCCTGAGGTGTCCAAAGTCGTGGTCAGCGAGTGCAGGAAATGAAGAAGAAAAAATTTCTTTTTGGCCCAACCGCTGGGAACGGTGCTGTGAAAACGTCTGGGGGAGGTGTTCCGGGGGCAGTCGGGGGGTGGAGGGGACAAGACAATTGTAGCCGCTGCCGGACCCCTCCATAAGGCACAGATTTGACGGGTCCCCTCTCCTCATAAAAGGCCACTCCAGGCTGGGTGCGGTGGCTCACACCTATTATCCCAGCACTTTGGGAGGCCAAGGCAGACGGATCACCTGAGGTCAGGAATACAAGACCAGCCTGGCCAACATGGTGAAACCCCATCTCTACTAAAAATATAAAAATTAGCTGGGTATGGTGGCAGGCACCTGTAAGCCTAGCTACTCGGGAGGCTGAGGCAGGAAAACTGCTTGAACACGGGAGGCAGAGGTTGTAGTGAGCCAAGATCACATGACTGCACTCCAGCCTGGGCAACAGAGCGGAATTCTGTCTCAAAAAAAAAAAAAACATACACATACACACACAACACAAAAGGCCGCTCCTGCAGGGCTCCAGCTGCTGGAAACCGGCTCTCTGCCAGTTTGCTGGGGTTAGGGAGCGGCTGTGCTGCCGGCCTGGCCTGGGTCCTGAATGCGGGGGCATCGACAGAGGGCCTGCCAGGGATCCCTGGTTCGGGGGCAGGGAGGGTGGCCCCAGGACACCCTGGACCAGGCGCTCCCCAGCTATGGGGAATGTGGGGAGGGGGCGAAGCTGGAACCGCACAGATCAGGGGATGGCGGGGACAGCGAGGACTCGGCTAGGCACCAAGCCCTCTATCACTGCAGAGGACCGGGAGCTGGCCCCGATGCCTCTTCTTAGGTCCAGCCAAGGGCATCTGCCCTGGTGACGGTGGGCGGCTGGTGTGAGATGGAGCTCCCCATCAGAGCTACTCTGGCCTCAGCGCCAGCAGCTCTGGGAGGACGGGAGGGCAGCCGACCTGCTGCCACCTGTCCCCCGGAGTCAGGCCTCGAGACCTGAAGACGAGGCCATACCGGCCGCGCAGTGGACGGCAGGTGACCACACATTTCCGGGAGCAAGAGGGTGTCCCGTGGACGGCAGAGGCCGAGGGCCACCGGGGAGTGCTTGCAAGGAACTCTGCTCTCGGATGAGATGAACATGGCTTCTGTGGCCCTGGCAAGAGGGGTGTGGTCCATGGCCACCACCAGCTTCCACCATCCCAGCTGGAGGGATGGGGCCCCAGGTACTCCCAGCCCTCAGGACCAGGGGTAGCAGCAGGAATGAAGGGGAGGAGGTGGTGGGCGGTGGCAGCAGGGCTGGCTTCCTCTAAGGCCACTGGCCACCGCCCGGGTAGCTGGGCACAGTGGGGTACTCGGGCAGGCTGTTGCCTGAGAAGTTGTTGTACTGGGCCTCCCTCGATGGCGGGTTCCGCCAAGTGCCTGCGCTCCACTCCGTCTGTGCCTTCTGGAAGCTTCCACCGGTCCCTCGGTAGATCCTGTGCACCTGCAATGACAGAGGACAGGGAGTCAGAGAACAGAAAATGAGTGTGGCGGCTGGCCACGGGGACTCACGCCTGTAATCCCAGCATTCTGGGAGGCTGAGGCAGACTGCCTGAGCTGTGGAGTTCGAGACCAGCCGAGTAACACGGTGAAACCCTGTCTGCGCACCACTGCACTCCAGCCTGGGCAATAGAGCGAGACTCTGTCACCAAAAAAAAAAAAAAAAAAAAAGCTGGACGCGGTGGCTCACACCTATAATCCCAGCACTTTGGGAGACTGAGGCGGGCAGATCACGTGGTCAGGAGACTAAGACCATCCTGGCTAACACGGTGAAAGCCCGTCTCTACTAAAAATACAAAAAATCAGCTGGGCGCGGTGGCGGGCGCCTGTAGTCCCAGCTACTCGCGAGGCTGAGGCAGGAGAATGGCGTGAACCCGGGAGGCGGAGCTTGCAGTGAGCTGAGATAGCACCACTGCACTCCACCTGGGCGACAAACAGAACGAGACTCCATGTCAAAAAAAAAAAAAAAAAAAGACGTTTTGCTGTAACTGAACACTTCTATTAGGAGCCCAACTCAACACTTCCGCTATCTTCTGATGGAAAGTGTGACCAGGAACCTGCAAGGGGCCCCATCCTCACTTACAGGACAGCTCCGGGGCCTCAGCTCTTCCTGCAAACGCTGCGGTTTACACACAACCCCTGCTTCCCTCTGGAGTCCGGAATCCCGGCCCGGGGGTCCATGGGACTCGCCCCATAGGAACCCGGGCGCTGGGTCCCTGGGAGTGTCCCTGGTGGCAGCGCCTCCTGCTGTCATCCCAGCTCACTGCTGGGGATGAAGTGCGGCCTGCGTGACACCGCGGGGAGAGGGCCCGGCTCCCCGACGTTCACCCACCTGAGACAGTTGGGTGACAAGGCTCATGGAGAAAGGGTAAGGGTTCGATGTCCCAGAGCTGAGGACTCACCTTCATGATCGCGATGGCCATCAGGGCAGCCGACACGGAGAACATGATGGCCGGAAGCAGCATGACCACAGCAGCGCCCGGGCTTTCCTGGAAGAACCCGACTGCCGACAGCCAGCCGCTGCAAGGGACAAGAGAGTGCGTGGGGGCCTGCACACCCGTCAGATGAGGGCCCATGGTCCTCCCCATGTAAAGAGCTGTGGCCAATCAACAAGGAGGGCACAGCTCATACAAGAACCACTGAGTGGCCAAGAAACATAAAGTGACACTGAAGCACCAACTTCGGCACGTGAACACGACCTTATCCCTCCAGCACCGCAACAGTGAGCCGGGCGTGCAGGGGATGGAGACCAGTACTTCCCCATTAGTTTCCCTCAGTGAGTCTGGTGGGTACCAGCCATGGCAAGACTCAAAAGCTCACTCCCCATGCCCCATAGAGCCTGCTACTAAAAACCCAGCCTACGGCAACTGTGTCTAACGATGGGAACTGCTGAAACCTATATCCGCGTGTCCGGGAGCAACGCGGATAGGAAATCTGCCACCACCCCCCCCGGTGGGGCATTGAGGGGCCATTAAAAACAATAGGGAGGGCTGGGCGCGGTGGCTCACATCTGTAATCCCAGCACTTTGGGAGGCCGAGGTGGGTGGATCACGAGGTCAGGAGATCAATATCATCCTGGCTAACACGGTGAAACCCCGTCTCTACAAAAAATATACAACATCAGCCGGGTGTGGTGGCGAGTGCCTGTAGTCCCAGCTACTTGGGAGGCTGAGGCAGGAGAATGGCGTGAACCCGGGAGGCGGAGTTTGCAGTAAGCCGGGATTGTGCCACTGCACTCTGGCCTGGGTGACACAGAGTGAGACTCCGTCTCAAAAAAAAAAAAAAATAGGGAGGCCGGGCGCAAGGGCTCACGCCTGTCATCCCAGCACTTTGGGAGGCCAAGGCGGGCGGATCACTTGAGGCCAGGAACTGGAGACCAGCCTGACCAACATGGTGAAACCCCATCTCTACTAAAAATACAAAAATTAGCCAGGCATGAGGGCGCACGCCTGTAATCCCAGCTACTCAGGAGGCTGAGGCAGGAGGCTGCAGTGAGCCAAGATCATGCCACTGCACTCCAAAACCTGGGAGACAGAGCAAGACTCTGTCTCCAAAAAAAAAAAACCCCCCGAGGGAAAGCACTGCTTAGATCCGCCACCAGCGGGACACTGGGAAGGCAGGCCAGCACGCTCTGGGTCTCTCTGTGCAGGACCAGCCTCTGGGCATCGCACCTGTCTTTGAGACCCGGGAGGCAGAAAACACAGTCATTTTCAGATTTTTGTCTAAACAGGTGATAAAACCACAGCGTTAAAATTCAGGGAACTTAAAGGCAGGCACGATGTACAGTCTCCCTCCTGCTGACTCCCCTCCCCAGCGCACAGGCAGCCCACAGGACGCACACATCAGGATGTGTTCAGGGAGCTTATGCACACACATGCATATGGCGTGACATGCACGCACACGTGGTACCCCCTGCCGCCACCCTGCGAGATGCTGGCCTGTCCTGTGTCCACCTGCTTGGAGCCTCCGGAGCATCACAGGCTTCATGGCCGTTCGGTCATTCATTCCTTTCTCTCTTTTTTTTTTGGAGAGATGGGTTCTCTCTATGTTGCCCAGGCCGGTCTGAACTCCTGGCCTCAAGCAGCGATTCTCCTGCCTTGGCCTCCCGAAGTGTTGGGATTATAGGCGTCAGCTGCCGTGCCCGGCCTCTCTTATTTTTTTAAAAAGTAAACCTCTGTTTGGATATAATTTTAGATTTACAAAAAGCAGCAAAGGCATTTGAGGACTCTTGCCACCCTCGCCAGCTTCCCACTGGCTGGCATCTCACATCCCTGGCTGCAAGTGTCAGGACTAGGGAGGTGCCCAGCACACTGTCAGCTGGGCTGCATGCTCCGCTCAGAGGCTGCAGTGCCCGCTGATGTCCAATTGCTGGCGGGCTCCACTAGGGCTCCCACTGCACCGTGTCCTCAGTGCACGGCTCCTGCCACGTGGCCACCCTCACTGTCTACACAGCTAGGCCCCACTGGGGGTCATTTCTCTGGGGTTTCCAGTCCTCTGCAACCACAGATGCTGCCGTGGCTCACAGCCTCGGGCGTGCATCACCCCCGGGGAGGTGGCACTGCTGAAGCTGCCCGGGGCAGGGGGAGCGGGGCTGTTCCCTCTCACCCCACAGGAGCACACTGACCATGGGGGGCCTTGTTAAGCCAACGGTGGACATGAAGTCGCCACGTGCTGTGATTTGATTTCTCTCGTTACGAGGGGGGCCGGGCTCTCCTCTAGGGACCACTGGGTTTCTTTCTTGAGAGTGTTCACCTGCTGTCCAACTCGGGCAGGGACCACACGCTCCAGCTTCTCCCGTGACCCGCGGGAGACGACTCTAGGTTCTGATGAGGAGAGCCAAGTCGCTGCTGCTGCACTGCACGAGGGCGGAGGGGGCAGGGAGGTCTCTGAGGGTCACATATGGGCACTCACCTCATGCCAGGATCTCAGGACCACCCAACATGGGCACAGGCCTGTCCACCCAGTTTAGCCTGGGAGAACTGGGGAGGCACTGGGAAGGCGCCTCGCAGGAGGCGCCGGAGCCCAGGGAAGTGCCAGTGGGAGCGGAGCCAGCAGCTGTGGGCTAGGAGGACTCGGAGGATGATGAGCAGTGCCTTGACCTGCAGCCACGGCCTCTGCATGAGGGGGATGCACCCCACAGGCTGGCAGAGCTGGGAGCCCCAGGGATACCCTCACTAGGACTCTAACTCAGATCCCTGGGGCAATGTCACTCAGGCTCTCGGGGTAGTGGGGCCAGACCAGCCTTAGCAGCACATCCGAGGGGTGCACACACCACTGATCCCGGCCACCCTGGAGGGCCTGGCGCCGGGCGCAGGTGCAGGAGGGGAGAGGCCCACAGATCGAGGGGTCCTGAAGGGAGAGGAGTCATCATTCCGGGAAACCCGGGACCTTATCTGGGTTCTGATTTGAGCGCTGGCGTGAGACCACCACGGTCTCGTGGGGCAGGTGCCCCTGAATAGGAGCTTGCTAACGGGCGTCCAGGAAACCAAAGGCACCCACGGCTCTGTGAGCAGAGTCACCCGTGGGGAGTTCCTGCCGTGCCAAGGACAAGGGAGATACGTCGGGGACGTGGGTGAGAACAGTCACTCTCTGCAACTGTGAATTCCAAATGATTCCAAAATAAAAAGTCTATTTAAAAAGCCACAAATCTGGCCGGGTGCGGTGGCTCACGCCTGTAATCCCAGCACTTTGGGAGGCTGAGGCGGGTGGATCATGAGATCAGGAGTTTCAGACCAGCCTGGCCAACATGGTGAAACCCCGTCTCTACTAAAAATACAAAGTCAGCCGCACATGGTGGTGGGCGCCTGTAGTCCCAGCTACTCGGGAGGCTGAGGCAGGAGAATTGCTTGAACCCGGGAGGCAAAGGTTGCAGCGAGCAGAGATCACGTCACTGCACTCCGGCCTAGGTGACAGACAGAGACTCCATCTCAAATAATAATAATAATAATAACAATAATAATAATAAAGGCCCGGTGCGGTGGCTCACGCCTGTAATCCTAGCATTTTGGGAGGTTAAGGAGGGCGGATTGCCTGACCTCAGGAGTCCGATACCAGCCTGGACAACACGGTGAAACTCTGTGTTTCTACTACTAAAACACAAAAGAAATTAGCCAGGCGCGGTGGCAGGCGCCTGTAATCCCAGCTACTCAGGAGGCTGAGGCAGGAGAATCTAGGAGGTGGAGGTTGCAGTGAGCAGAGATCACACCACTGCACTCCAGCCTGGGTGACAGAGCAAGACTCCATCTCAAAAAAAAAAAAAAAAAAAAAAAAGGAGAAAAAAAAAGAAAACAAAAAAAGCCAGAAATTTAAGACACAAACATCAATGCTTCTGAGAGCCCGGCAGCCTTAGGGAGTGACTGTGAGCTTCTCCGGTGTGGGAGCAGCACCGGGTGCGTGTGTTTTCACAGATGTCCAGGTCTTCCTCCTGCAGCCATCCGTGCAGAAACAGAGCGGCCAGGAACTGGCTCCCAGACCCTAGATCCGGAGCGTGATCAACACTCGGGATACAAGGCTGGCTGGGCGCTGGCGAGGACGTGGGCGCTGCCCGGGCGAGCTCGGACCCCTCCCTAAGAGAGCACGTACAATCACGAACCATGGCTGGGCGCTGGCGAGGACGTGGGCGCTGCCCGGGCGAGCTCGGACCCCTCCCCAGGAGAGCGCGTACAATCTCGAACCAGTACGCCCCCGTGAGAACAGTCACTCTCTGCAACTGTGAATTCCAAATGATTCCAAAATAAAAAGTCTATTTAAAAAGCCACATGGGGGGCCTTGTTAAGCCAACGGTGGACATGAAGTCGCCACGTGCTGTGATTTGATTTCTCTCGTTACGAGGGGGGCCGGGCTCTCCTCTAGAGTGCTGTGGGCTTTCACGCCGGTACCTTCAGGGCACTTTGGGAGGGCCAAGGCAGGGCGCGGATCACTTAGTCAGGGAGTTCAAGACCAGCGCTGGCCAAAGGATGGTGAACCTGGTCTATGACTAAGCAAATACAAAAATAGTGGGGCGTGCCGGGGGGTGGGGCACCTGTATCCAGGTCTAATTCAGGGAGGCTGACGCAGGAGAATCGGCGTGAACCGGGAGCAGGAGGTTTAGTGAGCCGAGATTCGCACCCCTTGCCCTCAGCCTGGGGTC